CTCTACATTCAGCACTGCACTGATTCAATTTAGCTGGTGTTTAAGTTGACCATCCATTTTCAATCCACAGTAAGAACCAAAACAACTTTCATGTGTACCAAAATGCTCTGAGCTTAAAAAAATGAAAGACTGACTCTGCTCAATGCTAACGAAGGGCCTTGGATTCTTGGTATCTTTCCATAGGGCCCGAACCCATAAAGTTTCCTTAGGCAATTCAACTTCTGAAACTCACAAAAATGTATATAAGGGTGTCTATGCAGCAATTTTTCTAATAGCAAGTAAGCAGATAAATAAATATAACCCTATATGCTCATTGAGTGGAATACTGTGGTTTCCATTGAGTGGAATACTGTGTGACCATTTAAAATGATAATTTAATATATATTTATTGCCATAAAACATTTGTATATGACAGTAGTAAAGTCTATGCTTATGGGTATGTATGTTTGGGCAGAAAAAGTTATAAGGATCAAGTTATGATCTGAAAATATGGTGAAAGTTTAAATTTTTAAAAATTTATGATACTAAGAGACACATTGACATTAATCCCCCTAAAAACACTCCCCCAACTTTGAACACACTTATTATCCCATTGTTCCTGCCACTTTCTGAAGCAGTCCTGGCATTCTTCTTTCATGTCTTTAGTTGTTATGTTTTGGCTACTTCAATGTCCCGAATTGATATAAAACATTTACCTCGCATGATCATTTTGACTTTGGGGAAGAGCCAGAAGTTGTATGTTACTGCATCTGGTGACTATGTGGATGAGAACACACCACAAAGTTTTTATTTGACAGAAATGGCCACAAACATCTGATCAAAGAGGAGAGATCCAGAAACACAGTATATGTTTAAATTTAAAGTTTTATTACAGTAAGTGGTATTGCCATTACTCTCCCTCAAAATACTTCCCCTAGCTTCAAATACACTTGTCCTATTATTCTTGAGAATGTGTCTTACTGTAATAAATTTAAAAAAATGTATTGCTGGGTGTGGTGTACACCTATAATTTCAGTACTCAGGAGGCTGAAGCAGAAGGATTTCTGTGAGTTTTAGATCAGCCTGGGCTACAAAGTGAGTTCAGTACTATTTTGAACTGCATAGGGAAACCCTGTCTCTAAAAGATGAAAAAAAATTAGCTAATTTTGAGTAATGAGCTATGGCTGATTGTTATGGCTTGTGTCTAGATATCCCTTCAAAGTCTCATGTGGACTTTACAGAGGTGGCTGAATCTAGAATGTGTGATGGCTGGGTGTGGGGGCTAGAGTGTGTGATTCCAGCATTCGGGACACTAAGCTAGGAGGATTGTTTAAAATTTGAGATCAGCCTGGGCACAAGGAACCTGAACTGCATAATAAGATCTGTCTCAAAAAGACAAAAAATCAATCAATCAATCAATCAGTCAGTCAGTCAGTCAATAGAACGTATTGTGATGCTGGGCCTAACTGTGTGATGCTGGGATCAAGTTTACTAAATTAGTCCATTGATTGGTTTGGTATAGTTCGGGGTGGCATTAAGGGTGCCCCACCCTAGATGTGAGTGCTACCTGCCCTAGGGTAGGCTGTGTAAAATATAAGGGACAGAAAGAGGACCAGTGTCACTGCTTGTTGCTTGATGCTGCTTGTCTCCTGTCGGCCATGCACTATTTCCCCCTTGTCATACTGCCCTGTTTTGAAGCTAGTCAACTATGAACTGAAACTTCCATAAATTGTGAGACAAATAAACTTTCCTCACTTAACTTTGGGTATTTTATCTCCGTTAACAAGAAAAGTAACCAAGATAGTGATTTTTCATTTATACTTCACTTTTAAATTTTTCTTTAATAAATAATCAGCCTGCAATATAAGCTTTAATGTTTTAAAACAAATTTAGAAATAAACAATTTTAAAAGGAGGCAAAATATTTTGAATGTATGTCTTTTTTTCTTAACAATTTCACATGCTTTTGAATTTTCTGAAAAAAGTCATAATTTGTTAGTTTAGAAGCCACTTAAATACTTACTTTGTGAAATCAGTAGAAGGTATGTATGCTTCAATATTTTTAGCCCCTACACAAAGAAATGGTGGCAGCTTATAAAGAGAAAATTGAAATTTTGTGTAATAGACATGTGTACAATACTGTTTAGTCTGTTTCCTCAGGGTATAAGAAAATATCTTTTTCTTCCTCTTTTGACAAGAAAACAAAGAGGAAGCACTTTAAAAGGATAATCCCATTTCATGCTCATCACAGCGTGTGCCAAAATCCGGTTTAGCAAAATCTACGAGGGTTTTGCTGATGAGCTAATCTGTTTCAGCACCTCTGGTCAATCTGGCAGGGAAAACGGGTCCTGCAGAGGACAGCTGACTTGGTCCTGTGAGCAGGTGCACCCACCTGGCCTTTGCCAGCCTGCTCCAAGTTAGAGACGTCTCCACAGCTCCCTCTGCGACACACAGCCTGGTGAGAAGAGGCACACTCAGGGCTGCCCAAGAAGGGCCATCCCAATGATTATTACCAGGCGGAAGCTGCTGTTGCCTTTATGATGGCATTTGCTTATGATGATGGGGGAGGACATTCGCAAAAACCAAAAAAGTTTGATTTCTGGAAGAGCACCTGCAGCAGGCCAGTGGAGCTCATCGGGATGAATAAGTATGTGTTCCTTCCTGTATTTTCCATGTTCTTCTACATGAACAACGATCACTTTTATAATCATGAAAAGGCTGCTTAAGATCAGTCCTAAATGTTCATATTCTTCCTAACTTCTCAGCTATTGGGGCTAGAAGGACTGGGGTGAAAGGGTGTGCTTGTGGCTAGGGATGGCTCTGGAGCTGGAGAGATGCGGAGAGAGGCAGCAGTGGGGGGACATCTGAGATAGTGGGGAAGGTAAGCGTGGGCTGGAGTAGGGGTCCCTATCCCCTGGATCTGGGACTGGCCCGGGTCTGTTAGTAAACGGGTCACACAGCAGGAAGGAGTGGTGGGTGAGCAACCCCGCAAGGCATCATCTCTATTTACAGCTTCTCCCTGTTATAGCTTGTAGGGAAAGTGGCTGGATTAGGGTACGTGAATGTGGATTAACGGTGTGATACTGGGTGTAGATAACGAAAGCCCCACCCTGAGTATGGGTCACACCAACCAATAGGTTTGTAGCCTGGCTGGAATATAAAGAAGGCAGGCAGACTGCCACTTACTGCCCCTACTTGCTTTGAACGGATCATTTCTATTCTGTGATGTCCCTTTGCCCTGCTGTCTGGCTTTGGAACCAGCCGACCATGGTGTGAAATATGCTGAAATAAACCTTTCCTCCTTTAACTTGGGGTGTCAGGTGTTTTGTCTCAGCAATAAAAGTAACTAAGACACCCCCCATCGCTCAAGTCACTACCTGAGCTCCACCTCCTGTCAGATCAGTGGTTATATTAGATTCTTATGGTTCAAACTCTACTGTGCATTTGAGGGACCTAGTGTGAGTGCTCCCACGAATCATCCAGAAACTATATTCCCCTCCACCCACCATCCCTGCCGCTGCCTCCCCATCTGAAGAAAAATTGTCTTCCATGAACCTTGTCCCTGGTGCCAAAAAGGCTGGGGACTGCTGGGCTAGAAGACAACCGCCAGGCTGTGCCATGGTCTAGGACGGCATGACCGTGTGTGGATCCCTGATGGGCAAGAAGGTGAGACTAGGGTGGGTGCTGAGATGCGCACAGCTACAGAAAAATGGGCAGCAAGTCTGGGGTGCCCGAGCTTTCTCTTTATGATGCATTTATGACTAAACTAAAAATGCTGAGAAGTGCTGATGTCATGTCTTTGAGATGCCCGTGACAAGCTTTCTCTATTCAGTATTTTCTTAATAATTTGAAAATTTGTGCTAAAACTGCTGGTTCTCAAATTCTTGCCAGCATCACTTCACCCTTTAGGTCATGTTTACACTTTTGTGACCTTCTGCCGTTCCAGGAGAGAAGGCCTGCTCTCGATCTGGAGGGAAAGTGCAGTGAGGGGAAGGATTCCACGGAGGATCAACACTCCCCTGTGGGTGTGCCCATTGTCAATGCTGGTGACAGTCCTTGATCACTACCACTGTACAGAAGGGGAGGATAAGGCTTAAAGAAGTTAAGTATATCATCAGTGTCTCATGCAAGACATCTGGTGGCAACAAAATTGAACCTCAGTCTGCCTGATTCAAATGGGGGGCATCTTCCACAGGATAGGATCATGCCCAGGAGCTGTTCAATGCCCTCCAGATGATTCGTGTGCAGCTGAGATCACCAAAACAGCCAGCCATAAATACATGGACATCATCTCTCTCCACAAACTTTAGGGAAGAATTTATATACAAAGAGATTTGTTCGCTTAACAATTAAGGTATATATCTCATTTTGAAAAGAAAACTACAGCTTTTTTATGGTTACGAACCCTAATACTTTCCTGCTTTTGACGATTGGTTGTTTGAGCATGGGCTAGCACTAAGTTAGTCACAGACTAGCTTATTGCTTAGGCATCTTATTTGGAGTTCACTACAGTGTGCACAGTGATTCCGGTGAATCCCTATCACAGAGCGCGTTGTGCTAGTTTCCTTCCAACATCATGTCTTTCTCTGCTTGGCTTCCCTGGATAGAGCTCCCCCATATGTACATACCATGTTCATGTTTGGACCATGTGGGTCTTCTAAATGTCAGTGCTAAAGACATCCATGGCAGGGAACATGGCCCCTGTGATGTAAACAGAATACGCAGGGGACTCAGGCCTTCCTCTAGTGTTAGAAGGTTAAAGGATCTAAGATCGATTTTATGACTCTATGATTTCTTTAGAACTCTGTCTACCATAAAACAGGAGATCTTGGGAGGTCTTCAAATGCAGGGAAAATAACACATTTTCATAGTTAGACCAAACACTGAAAAACCAAGAGAAAATAAGCAGTTTCCATTTTAATTGAAAAGGGTCCAATCCCTGATGACTTCAGTTGGAGGACGACACAGAACAAACTGGACAGCAATGTTTAGTAAATTTCACTTCAAGTAATAAAGCATTCATTGTATGATATAAAAATAAGTCTTTAATTAAAAAGAATACTTGAGCAGTACAGGATACATCCATAAAGCAATATGAAAGTATAAAAACACGGCAACATCAGGACAGGATTCCACAAGCCACAGGGTTCCTAAATCTTGTAGGAAGTTTGATGCAGAATTTTTTAAACTTTCAAACAATGCAGTTGATTTTTCTCTCAGGTAAGACACACCTGAAGGGAGGCTGTAGCAAATCGTAATAACCTGGGGGCTCTTTGGAAGTGATGTGGACTCTCCTGGTTCTCCTGTGGAGGCCAGTGGGATTCCCAGAGTGACAGGACGACTCCCTAGCAGAAGGCACTGTGCTGCCCTCTGAACAGGTGGTTGCCCAAACCCATCCGTAAGGGATTTACATTTATAGTCACATTGAGGGGTCATGATCACAACTGGAATCTTCCCTTTGCACATTTCCATCTTCTAACGATTCTCAGTATGGTTAAAATGCCCCTATAAAAATAAAAGAGCACATTATATGAATTCATTTACCTTGGCCAAATTAACATACTATGAACATACTATGTTCAATAACACAAATCACTGCATTTAAAATGACACTTGTAAACACTATTAATTTCTGAGACAAATATTTCTAGATTTATTACTAAATAGCATACTGTAATTACAATATTTGAAGAATTTTCAATAGTACCTGGCACACAGAATGTTCTCATTAAATGCTATATCCCTTGTACAGGAAGAATAAAAATGGGGCTGGGGATCTAGCTCAGGGGCATAGCGTCTGCCTGGCAAACACATGGTCCTGGTTTGATCCCCAGTACCAAAAAAAAGAGGAAGAATAAAAATGAAAATATCATTTACAGTAGGCAGACAGGGTGATACAACTAAAGCCCAATATACACATATATTGAAATGTCACAGTGAAACCTATTGATCTGTATAATTAGTAGGAGTATTTATAATTAAAATAAATTAGAAATTTAAAACATTCACCTACCCATGAAACAGTTTTAAAAATAATGCTATCTAAATACTGAATTCAGATTCAAGACAAGGGGTGTAGCCTGCTCCTTATTGGGGACAACTAGAAGTAGCCCAGGCTCATAAAAATCACCACCAGAAGCCTCTGCACTCCCCACCTCCAGAAGCAGGCCTCCCATCGCTTCACCTTCCCCTGCAGAAATAGAACCAGATGGCAGGACCGACAGTGGGTCACACAGCACACTGAGAGGTCTCATTACCATCTAGAAATCTCTGTCCCATGAACACCAGCACACAGCAGGGTGGCTCTGGGTCCACGGCAGAAGCAGAATGGCACCCTTGCCCACAAGGACTACTCAGGACAGCAACAAGATTCCTGGGCTGGCAGAAGGGCTAAGAATGGTAGGACAGGCTAGATGGCATGGATCCAGTCCATATACAGCCCAGTCCACAATGAGTTTCCCAGAAGGCAGACATAGCCCTGAGTCTTGGTGACCTAACAGGGAAGACTCAGGTCTTGCCTAGAGGTCTCATGGGTGGCTGCAAACGCATTTCACATTGACGGCTCACTTAGGAGAGCAAAGTGCTACAGCAACAAGGGAAGGGAGCACCTGAACCTGATGAAGCCTGGTATCTTGGCCCGACACAGGGAGGTATCTTGGGTGGGCCACAACAGAATAAGGTCCCAGGCAGTAAGAATAGCATGAAGTCAGACCTGGAGAAGCCAGCTGTGATGACAGGGGCTAGGATGCGAGCAGCACATTGGCAAGGAGGAGGTCTGTGTCAAAGGTCAGGCTCACTGAGGCTGCAAGGACAACGTTTATCAGGTGTTGAGTTTACTTATGGAGTGTTTTCTATAACTGTCCCAGAATTATACATGGAACAGACTTCCCTTTATGGAAGGTGTTATGGTTTGTGTCTGGGTACCCCCCTCCAAGTTTCATGCAGTCATGGAGGTGGCTGAATCTAGTGTTTGTGATTGGTTTGTTGTCTAGCACTGGGATTGGCAGTGTGGGTGCTGTACTCGCTCAGGGATGGATTACTGGGCATACAATATAAGGGAGGGAAAGAGGCGTGCTATTCCCTTTTTCTTTTCTTCATTCGTTCTTGTCGCTGTGGCTGCCAATGCATGGCTGCCTTGCCTTAGAGTCAGCTGAGTATGGACTGAAACCTTAAAAAAAAACTGTAAGCTAAATAAACCTATCCATCCTAATTTTGAAGATCATATATTTTGTCTAAACAATGAAAAAAAAAGTAAGACCAAAGGAAATAAGTTTGTTTCCTGTAGTTCTTAAAATCATCCATAGTCCAATGGATATCAAGTCTCCAGAAGAGTGAGTACACACGCCCTGGCTTTCTCTGCCAGGACTCTTCTGCCATGAGGCCCCTCACATGCTGTAGGAATAGGTCAGCAGAAGCTTGGGAAGCCACTGGGGTGCTATAGCAGAGGACTGGGCAGGAGCCAAGGGGCACTCTTAGGGGAGACAAGCAAGGAGGGACAATGTTTTTTAAACCAACAATGCTATCATCACTACCTCACAGATCTATAAACAAAAAAATTAAATTACAAAGGCATTTACTGAGATACCTCCTGCTCCCTCCCTGTTCTAGGAGGAGGTACATTAGAAAAACATGCTGGAGGCAGAAAGGAAAGACGTAGGTAGGGGTCAAGACCAACAACCACATCAACAGGAAGACAGAGCCAAAGGAATGACTTTCAGAAATTACTTGTTTAAACTTTCTGTGCTCTGCTTTCTGACAAGATGCCAAGTCCCCACATCCCCTTATGCACTCTCCCCTGTACATTTCAATGTGTCACTGTCTCTCACAGCCTACAGCCTACAGTGATACCCAAAGAGGGTCCCAGTATGTCCCTGACCTATACGGCAGTAGGTCTGAAGTTCTGGGACACTGGGACTTACAGATGACACATAACAGCCACTACAGGCACATCTGACCATGACTGGGCAATGGCTCTATGATTTGATGAACTTGGGCAAAGAGCAGAGTTCTCTGTGCCTCGATTGTAAACCTTATCATAGATGAATAAAATGCCTTATTTCCTGTTTGGTTAGACTTGAAATGTGACCTGATAAGCAATAGTGGGGTAAAACACAATTCTAGTATTTTTTTTTAATAAAACAAGAGATAAATACAGTTTTGAAGGAGTTATTTGCTTCTGATATTGGGAAGGAAAGTGACTTAGGTCCAGCTGTTTCTAACTGCAAAACATATTCCTCATTGTTTTCTCAAGGGACAAGTCTTCACACACTCTTATGGTCCCTTCAACCTCTTGCTGTAACCATCCCCTCATGGGGCACTTGTCACAACTCATGTCCCTTTTGAAATTTTCCATGTTGCTTTATACAGTAGAAACCTGCCTCACTGGGCTCTACCTTACTGTCTGAAGGATCAGTAGAACCAGAGGCCCGAAAGGTACACACCTCACTCCACTTGAGGTTGTCACATGAAACACCATACTGATACTTTCATCTGCAGTAAATCTAGTTACAATGCAGCCAGTGCATAGTGGGGGAAGAAAGACTTTGGCATGTATCATTTTGCCTTTTTGTGAAAACTATTTTTTCATTAATGTGCAGAATCCTGGCTTTGTAGGTAGCTCTGTGCCTGTCCTTGAATAATTGTGACATAATAGCAGCGGCCCTTTGTGAGCTAGAGATGTCTATGATTCCTGACATTGCCTGAGGAATCATCTTTAAGAGCAGATTCATCTTTACTCCCATAAAACAGAGTCTTATCACAAAGGCTGAGTTCCTTCAAAGGCCTACCGTGAAAGCAAGGACTTCTAAGATAATCAACCTTATTTCACTTGCATGACTGTTACTCTAATGAAGTATACTTATGTATGCCCCATGCAAATTTAACATGCCTTGCACTTAGCCCACCTTCCTTCCTTTCTTCTTGGAAGTAATCACTACTCTAAGAGAGCATATAGCTTCCTGCATTAATTAGCCTCAATGGGAAGTAGGTGGTATGTGACAACAGAATTCACAAAAGTGATGACTGCAATGCTGTTCAAGGGAGCTGCAGAGGACTGTGTAAGACCAGACTACGGGATAAGAGGAGGAAGCAGTCCCAGAACCTGGGAGAAGCATATGCTATGGAGTTTTGGCTTATTGGAAGGAACAGAGGCATTGACCAAGAGTCTCAAAGAGTACCCACTTGCCCTCTCTCTCCAATCTCTTGCTGTCTGCCCCAAAGGCTAAACTCAGAGAGCCCAAGGCATATCAGAGAGCCCAAGCACCCCACAGATATAGACCATACAGCTCTGGGGAGGCAAACAGAGGGGAAAGTTCAGAAACTATAGGCTTACTAGACAAAGACTTTAAATCAGTTACTTTAATTATGTTCAAAGAACTAAAGGAAACCATGACGAAGAACTAAAGGACAGCCAAGCATGGTGGCTGTACACACCTGTAATCCTAGCACTCAGGAGACAGAGGTAGGAGGGTTGTTGTGAGTTCAAGGCCAGCCTGGATTTTAAAGGGAGTTCAAGGCCAGCCTGAACTGCATAGTGTGACCCTGTCTTAAAGACACAACAAATCAACAACAACAACAACCTAAAGGGCAGGGGCCAGGGACATAGGTCAGCGGCATAAATGCTTGCCTGACAAGGGCAAGGTCATGAGTTCAACTCCAAGTACCCCTCAAAAAGAACTAAGGGACAATATGAGAAAGATATCTTGCCAAACGGTGTATATCAGTAAAGAAATCATACATACACAACAAACAGAAAATCTAGACTTGAGAAGTATAATACTGAAAAAGTTCACCAGCACACTTAAGCAGGCTGAAGAAAGAACCAGGGAAGCTGAAGTGCTGAGATGATCTAGTTTGAAGAACAGAAAGACAAATGAGTGAAGAAAAATGAGCACAGCCTTGAACACCTGTGGAACTCCATGAAATATACCAATCCACACATAAATAAGAGTCTCAGAGGGAAATGAGAGAGAGGAAGGGGCAAAGAAATATTTGAATTATGCCCATAAACATTTTCAAATTTATTGACAAATAGTCCATATATTCAAGAAATTCAGTGAACTCAAACTAGAATAAGCTAAAAGGGTTTCATACCTAGACACATCATAATACAATGAAAGGCAAAGAATCTTGAAATCAGAAAAGGAGAAGTGATATATCATAAACAAGGATCCACAATAACACTAAGTTGATTTTTCACTGGAAATCATGTAAGTCAGGGGCAGTTAGGCGATCTAATCGAAGTGCTAAAAGGAAGACTCAAAGAATTGTGTTTACAGCACAACTGTCCTTCAAACTGACGCACAAATTAAGACCTTCTTAGGCAGAAACGCAAAACTCACCTCCACTAGACTTGCCGAAATATGGAAGTCCACAAAAGGACACTAGATAATAACTCACATCCACCTGACTGTGAATGAGATTTGTCCTGCTACAGTACATACGAGTGTATCTGTCTTTACATGTTCCTCTTCAAAACTTTGCTGAATATTAATTCAGAAGTTTTT